AGCCAATTCAGTGAATATTAATTAAGTGCCTATTACATGTTAGGTTCTGGGCCGGAATTTAGGATTACAAAGACAAAAATGAAAATAGTCCTTGTCCTGAAAGAGCTTGTATTCTAGTGTGTGCTGGAGTCATCTGATTGTTAAATTTTCAATGTGAGCTTTTATCCCTCGGAAATTGGCAAATACTACAAATCAGGGCTTGCTTAATTGTTTTGTTGATTATTTAGACTTAAGAAAGGGACAGAGAAAATTTTAATAATGAAGATTAAGCTTAAAAGTATGTTGTATTTACATTTCCACCCTGGAAAGTCAGTTGTTAAATATTTATCAGCACACTCTTGCTTATACTCTATTGGGGAGATGCAAGATACACATAAATAAGTAAATACAAAATACATTTAAAGTAAATATTATATATGTACACACATATATTTTGAAGGGGAAATGCTAACAACTGGGAAGATCACAAAAAGCTTTATATAGGAGATGGCACATTAGCTGATCTCTGAATGGAGCTTGGAATTCCAAGAGAGCATTTCAGGCATGGAAGGGAATAAACATATAGCACCTACTATGTTCCAGGCCCCGTGCTTATGCTTTTTATAAATATTATCTCATTTAATCTTTACAACAGCTCAGCAAAGGAGGTGCGATTGTCACCCCCATTTTACAGTTGAGTAAACTGAGGCAAATAGAGGTGAAGCGATTTGTTCATGGGTCACATAGCTAATAAGTGTCTGAGGCATTATTTGAACTGAGGTCTTCCTGATTCCAGGCCCAACATTCTATCCACTGCACCATCAGCTGTATGGGGGTAGGGTCTGGAAGGGGTAGGGTGAGGGGAGGAGAGGGAGAACTGCCTGCGCAAAGGCCTGGAAATACTGATCTATTGGGGGACAGAATGTCCTGTAGGATAGCAAACAGGCCAGTTTAGTAGACATTGAGTACATGAGAAGAATTAATGTGAAGTAAGCTTCCCTAAGCTTATTAAGGCTGCTCCTCAGAGGACAGACACACAGTCTGTTTCTGGCCCATACTTGTAACTTTTGTAGTCTAATAGGTGTGTGAGGCAGAAAGTATTTGGGATAGTGAGCAGATGGCTGGTCACTTATGTTTGCTGGCCCCTATCCTTGTGAGAGTAGCTTCATTCTTCCCCAGGTCTTCCTTCTGTTTTCCCTTGGGCACAAGTTTTCTCTAGTCATTCCCTTGGGAAGTCACCAGGGTTTTCCTTTCAAAATTACCAAGAGAAGAAAGAATAGGAAAGGGGAAATATCTAAAGTGGTCACCTCAAAAAGGCTATTCCTAGCTCATTTGAAAACTTCCCCCCTCTAAGCAGTTAAGTTTATTTTTTTTCTAGGACCAGTTAAGATTTGCATTTATTTTATTTGTTTTTTTTTTTGAAGCTATAAAAATAGGAATCAGTAAACATTCTCTTCAAAGCTCCAGCAGTTGTAAAATTGATTTCTTTTCTTTTTGCATTGTTGCTGTTCTTCTTTGTGACTCCATTTTTGAGGTTTTCTTGGCAAAGATACTGAAGTGATTTGCTATTTCCCTCTCCAGCTCATTTTACAGAGGCAAACAGGCAATGTCCTAGGTGCTGCAGATATAGATATACACACAAAGCTACTGTTGGAGCTAGGGTATTTGTGCCACTCACTTCAAGTGACTTGCCCAGGGTCACATAAGTGTTTTGAGGCTGGATTTCAACTCATGACAATGAATCTTCTTGATTTCCAGTCCAGTGCTCTATCCACTATACCACCTAGCTGCCCTCCATTCTGGACACTTTACTCCTATTATCTCTTCCTTTGCCACTATTTGCACAAGTATATACACACAGATCAGCAATGCAATAGTTAACCGTTTTATCTTAGAGAAACAACAGATCAGAAAGCAAAATCTCCACAGAAATAGGGTGTGGGAAAGTAGCCCATTTCTCACCAGGGAGAGAGAACAAAAGTGGAAGTGAAACAAAGGGCAAGAAAGTGGAGATTCACTAGTTCTGTTCTCAGCACCCCGAAGCAGAGGGGCTTGACCCCCTCTGTGTCTGTTGCACATGACTCAGCTTCAGTCTGACTTAGCATCTCCATTCTTGCTCCCTTTCCAGTTCAAGCTGTTCCCAGGACCGCAGCCTGCTTGCCCCTGTCTCATAATCTCCTCTGTTTCACAAAATTACCTCATTTGATATCCCTGTTCTAACTCTACTCTCTCAGATCTCACTCTTTTCATGAGACTTCTCCCTCCCTTAGAATTGTGTTCTGGTCCAGGCCTGACTCACTTTGTTCTGGTGGTTCAGGCTGGGGAATAGAATGAAATGAGACACTGGTAAATCATCTGATATTTAACAGAAAGTAAGAGAGCAGCTAGGTGACACAGTGGATAGAGTGCCAGGCCTAGAGGCTGGAAGACCTGAGTTCAAGTCGGGCTTAGATACTTAGCAGCTGTGTGACTCTGGGCAAGTCACTTATCCCTGACTCAACTTCCTCATTAGTAAAATGAGCTGGAGGAGGAAATGTCAAACACTCCAGTATCTTTGCCAAGAAAACCCCTGATGATGTCATGAAGAATTGGACATGACTGAGCAACAACAATAAGCTTACTTCACAGTAGCATAGAAAGAATAAGAAATGAAGAAAAAGTAAGCTTAACAGTAACATAGAGAGAATAAGAGGTAAGAATAAGTGTAAGTAAGAAAGAAAAAATTTACTTAACAGAAGCAACGAAAGAATGTATAGCAAGGACAGAGCCTTATTTTGGGTAGACACAGTCCCTTCATCTCCCTTGGCTAAAAAAAAATCTGTCCAGAAGGATGTATTGACTCAATTGACAATGGGTCATCCTTCAAGTCTGGGGGACTATGAATCCTCCTGGTGGAGCCCAGTGGGCTGAGCTTTTTACTATCTTAGGCAACCGAGAAACTGCTTCAACAGCTTGAGCCCTGGACCAACCAAATCTTGGGGGAGGACTCTTTGACTTTTAAGGAAAAATTAGGCCAGCCTAACTGGCAGTGAATCTAGCAGATATTGCTTCTATAAAAAATGGAATAGAATTCAGGCATTTTTCAGTCATGTCCAACTCTTCATGATCCCATTTGGGGTTTTCTTGGCAAAGATACTGGAGTGGTTTGCCATTTCCTTCTCCAGCTCATTTTACAGATGAAGAAACTGAGGCAAACAGGGTTAAGTGACTTGCACAGGGACACACAGCTAGTAAATGTCTGAGGACAGATTTGAATTCAGGAAGATGAGTCTTCCTGACTCCAAGCCTAGTACTCTATCCACTGTGCCACCTAGCTGCCCCAGTGGAATGGAGACTAACCCTTTAATCATAGTCTCATGGTTTTCCAGGGGCTCAAAAAGATAAGTATTGGAGAATTCCTCTCTCTCACTAGACACAGGCTCCACAAACAGCTATTACATCAGCTTGGTAGGAAATGCTAAGGCCTTTTTAAACTTTAATAGGATAAGGGACATACTTGGACATAATTTAGAATGATATTGAAAGAAGAAAGATAGCTGTTCGGACGGCCAGAATTTCATAGGAGAGAAAAATTCAAGGAAGGTTCCAGTAATAAAACCATGTTTTTGGTTGTCTATATACAAATAGACAAAATATAGACAACAACCAAGAGGAGGTAGAAGTTCTAACACAAGGAGACCAAGCCAACCTCATGGGTCTCACTGAAACTTGATGGGATGAAACTCATGACTGGAATATGGTTAGATACGGCTAGGCATGCCTTATTCAAGGGAAACATAAATGAGGTGGAGTGGGGTAGCACAGTACATTATGGAAATATACTCAAATGAGGAAATCTGGGAGCCAGAGAGGAGGATGCCTAGGGGAAAGGATTTGAAGGAAGAAGAATGGAGGGACAAACAGAAGAGATTTTGTTACTTGGACTAAAAGAGGAAATGGATAAAAAGTTTGGAAAACTGTTACATCCCACTAATCATTCTTATTGAGATTGGAGTACACTGAAATCTCCAGGTTTTTTTTTTTTTCAGAAAAATTGCTGTATATCCTGTACTTGTGAGGTTGATTTTTTGAACCCAAGTGTAAACTTTACATTTTTCTCTGAAATGAACTTCATCTTCTTCATTAGATTTAGCCTAATATTCTGGTCCAGAGGTGTCAAACACATGGTCTATGGGCTACATGTGGCCCACAATACTCTCGAATGTGGCCTGAACCAGATTAAAATGCAATTGGGAAATATTTAACAAAATAAATAAAAATACAACAATATTACATTTTAAAACTAAATCAACATGTGGCCTGCATATATGGATTATTTGTAACCATTTCTTTTTGAGTTAGACACCACTGTTTTAGTCTGTTAAGATCTTTTTGAATCCTGGTAGTCATTCAAAACTGTTGAATGTTTCCATTATCTGCAAATGGAATGAACATGCCATCCATGCTTTCATCTGAGTCATTGATAAAAATGTTATTCATCCCAGATTGACTCCATTGGGATCTAATGTCAAGTTGACATTGATCCATTAATGGCTTTTCTTTGAGTGTGGACATTCAACAAATATTTAGTCGACCTAATTGTATTATCATCTAGTTTCAAATCCTTTTATCTTTTCCACAGAAATAATATGATTCTCTATCAATGTTTTGCTGCAATCTAGGTAAGCTATAGGTTCATCATGCCCTAAATTTATCAGCTGAGTGGCCTCATCAAAAAAGAAAATAAGATTAGTCAAGCCAACTCTATTCTTGATAAAACTCTATTATTCTTTGTAAGTACAATTGCCTTTTCTAGATGTCCACTTACTATCTCTTTAACAATCTATTCAAGAATTTTTCTAGTAATCAAAATCAAAGTCAATAGCTTACAGTTTGTAGACAGAGTTTTCTTCCTTTTTATGAAATTCAGGATAACATTTGCCCTTCTTCAATAGTGGGACACCCCTTCCATTCTCCTTGATCTTTTAAGATCCTGTTATGGCTAGCCAAGCAAGGGCAGTATGATCAAAAGATATCTTTACCTTTGACAAGGCTGGAGCAGTGATATCCCAGGCACGTGGGGGCTCCCAACAATGGCATAGAAAGGAACACTGATTCTGCTCCCTGAAAGCCCCTTTATCCACACACCAGGAAAAGAAAGCCTAAGATCAAAGAACAAATGGTTCCATTTCAGATATGAATTCAGACTTGAAAAAAGAATTTCAGAAAAAAATTATAATTTTTTTATTATCAATTATTATCAATTAGAAGGGAAAGAATCAGCAGTAAACAACAAGAAAAGAAAAGAAACTCAAGGCAAAAGATAATCTGACTAGGAAAAAGACATATAATGCTTCCCAGAATCTTTCCACAATAACAGAATTTGAGCATGGGAAGAGACTTCAGTAGCCATATAGTCCAACCCATATTTAAAAGGAATCCTCACTATTACCAACCAAATATTCTTCTAGTCTCTGCTTTAAGATCTCCAGTGAGAGAGATCTCATCCCTTCCTGAGGCAGCCCATTCCACTTTTAGACAGCTCAAGTCATAAAGAAGTTTTTTCTGACACTAAGCCTAAATTTGACTCTTTGTAACTTCTACCCATTGCTTCTAGTTCTGCCTTTGGGGCCAAACAGAACAGCTCTAAATCCTTTTTCCCTTAAATACTTGAAGACAACTATCAGGTCATTTCCCCACCCCTACTCTTCTAACACCGAGTAACAGGGAATTTATTTCACTTTTTGACCTATCTAATCTAATCCAACTCAACAAACATTATTATATGCCTATTATATGCAAGGGGCAGCTAGGTGGCAGTGGATAGAACACCGGCAGGGAATTAACAATACCTGGGTTCAAATCCAGCCTCAAATACTTACTAGCTGTGTGATCCTGGGCAAGTCACTTACCCCTGTTTGCCTCAGTTTCCTCATCTGTCAAATGAACCGAAGAAGGAAATGGCAAACCAGTATCTTTGCCAGGAAAACCCCAAATGGGGTCATAAAGAATCAGACAACACTTGAAAAATAACTGAAATAACAACAACATTATATGCAAGATGTTATGCTTGGTACTGGGGATACAAAGATAGAATGAGAAAAAGTCTCCACTTTCAAGGAGCTTACTTACATATTGCTTGGGCTGGAGGGGATACAACATATAAATTTTATACATGTTAATTGAAGAAGCAAGATCAAGTACTAACAACTAAGGAGATCAGAAAGTCTTCCTGATCTAACCTTTGAAGTAGCTAGGGAGTTTAAGAGGTAGAGGTGAGGAGAGAGTGTTCTGTTGTTGTTGAGTCATGTTAGTACCTGACCCTGTTAGTACCTTACTTAATGAACTCCAGTGGCCCCTATTGCCTTTAGAATAAAATATAAATGCCTCCACTTAGCTTTTAAAACTCTTCCTAATCTGGCTCCAAACTAACTTTTTACTCTAATTATACATTGTTCCAGAGCTTCTTATGATCCAGACAAACTGGCCTTCTTTCAGTTCCTCATACACGGTATTCCTTCTCCTATTTCTCACCTCTGTACCACTTTTGTGGCCATCCTTCAAGCTTGGAATTGATTACCTCTTCATGTTAGATAACCAGAATCTCTCTCTTCCTTTAAGACTCAGTTCAGCTACACGAAGCCTTTCTTGATCCTCCCCAACTGCTATTGGTGCCCTCCCTTCAAAATAAGCTTGTATTTAAATACTCGTATTTATTCACTTTATATTTATTCTGTTTACATTCATATATGTTGTATCCCCCATTAGAATGGAGGATGTAATGTAAGCTCTTTGAGGGTATGAGTTGTTTCATTCTTTGTTTTTGAATAACCAGCTCCTAGCATAGTGCCTGGTACATAATAATTGTTTAATAAATGCTTGTTGGTTGATTGATTGGTAGCATCCATCCTTTTTCCTCCAGTCTCATGCTTATCGCTCTGATTTAGTCCTCATCAAATCCCATTTAGACTGTTATAATAGCCAATGTTTCATTCTCCTTCTAAATAAACTCCATTGGCTCCATATGACTTTTGAATCAAATATACATTTATCTGGATAGGATATAAAGCCCTTTACATTGTAGTCCCAACCTACTTCTACACTAGTATTAGATATCACTTCCCCTTCTTTACTCTATGGTTCAGCCAAACTGATTGTTTTGCTTTTCCTCACATAGAACATTTTGTCTCTCATCTCTTTGCTTTTTCACAAGCTTTCTCCCATGTATGGAATGAATTTCCTTCTAATCTCTCTCTTAGAATTCCTTATTTCCTTCAAAAGTTTCCTTGAGCACTGCGTTCTTCTAAGGCCTTTCCTGATTCCCCCCTAAAATTTTTCACTTTGAATTTCTCTTGTATAGATTTTGTAAATATTTATGTAACCCTAGTTAAAATAATCCCTCCCAAAGAGACTTTGGATCTTGTTTCTACACCTACAAGAAAACACAGCATCTTGGGGACTGACAGTTAACTTTCATCCTTATTTATTTATTTGTTTATTTGTTTGTTTGTTTATTTATTTATTTATTCTTGGTGAGGCAGTCAAGGTTAAGTGACTTGTCTAGGGTCGCACAGCTAATAAGTATCATGTGTTTGAGGCCGGATTGGAACTCAGGTCCTCCTGACTCTAGGGCCAGTGCTCTATCTACTGTACTGCTTAGCTGCCCCCCCACCCCACCTTTCATTCTTAAAGGAGTCTTGTGAGACACTGAGAGAGGGCTAACAGAGAACTTTTTCCTGAAGAGATTTGTATAATGAACTGCTTTTGGAAAATGATACTGAGAGGGACTTGGAGAGTTAACTGTCATCTTGGAAAGAACTGAAGAGACACTTTGGGAAAACTGAGTTTAATTGTCATTCAGAGGGGAACTCAATGAATTTAATGTCCTTCATTCCTGATGAGAACTAGACAAGGCTAACTAATTCTGTGGTGAAGACATTTTGAGAATTCCCGAGGAGAACTGAGAGTGTTTAACTGTTATTCTGAGTTGAACTCAGCCAAATTTTGTCATTTCTATCTTTGTAACAGCTCTCAAATTTGGCCCCTTCTCTTCTCTGATACTGCAACTCCCTTGGTACCAGCCTTCACCATCTCACACATGGACTACTCCAATAGATTGTGGGTTAGTCTCCCTTCCCCAAGTCTCTCCCTGCTCTAGTCCTTGCCGTACCTAGCTGCCAAAGTCATCTTCCTAAAGCTCAGGTCTGATCATGTCACCTCCCTAATTAATAAACCCTTCTTACTCCCTATCACCTCCATTATCAAATATAAAATCCTTTTTGGATTTAAAATCCTTTGCAACCTGGTCCCTTTTTACCTTTCCAGTCTTCTTACATTCTCTTCCCCTACAGTGACATTGGCTTCCTTGCTATTCCTTACACAAGACACTCCATCTCCAGTCTATGTATTTTCACTGGCTATCTTCCATAGGTGGAATACTCTCCCTCCTCATCTCCATATCCTGGATTTTCTAGTTTCCTTCAAGTCTCAGTTTATATACTACCTTCTGCAATACTACATTAATGCCTTTGAGATTACCTCCAATTTACCCTGTATATCTCTTGTTTGTACATAGGTGTTTGTGTATTGTCTCCACCATTAGAAAGTGAGCTCTTGGAAGGCAAAGACTGTTTCCTTTTGTGTCCCCAGCACTTAGTACAGTGCCTAGCACATAGTAAGTGCTTAATAAATGTTTGTTGATTTCACTTCTGAGAAGAGACAGAATGTGATTTCTGAGAATTGAGTAAAAGATCATTCTGAGAGGAACTTGTTTCA